ATGCATTAGACCTAATGCCCTGAAGACCCTCCAGTCTGCCCTCACTCGGCCCTACAGGCCACGGGCTAAGATGGCAGCAGCAGCAGCAACATGTCTGGATGTGCCGGCCACTCCTGGAGTCCTGGTCAGGAGTATTTTACTGCTCCTACTAAGCACTGATCCTGTGTGGGGTGAGTCATTAACCATCTCCTCATCCTCTGTACTCAGACAAACACGTGCTCTGACCACACCTGCACACAAACACATACAAAAGTACAACGACACTAATAGATAAAACAGAACTAAACCTGAAACATGTACAGGCCAGGACGCTAGACCGAGGTGGTGAAGTAAATTAAAGCTAAATTCCACCAATCCCAGTGTGGTGAACCACAGAAAACACCATGAGAAAGATGTGTGTAACCCCGTGGTGGCCTGCGACTCACACTGCCTGAACAGGCATCAGCAACTTTTACAGTGTTGTTGAACAGAGGTTGGTTAGAAATCCTTGGAAGTCATCAAAAAGAAATCTGCTCTGACAGCGACAAGTTTGTTACAGAGACGGCACGTCCAGCAAAAGACACAATGTGTTGCTTTAGGAGAGTTGCTGTGTTCTGTGCTCTGATATCCACCCACTGCCTTTTATTATCAGTTACAGCATACACACAAAAATCTGCTGTATTTTCCAGTATTTTCTGCAGTGTGAATGTCTCCGCCTGCTGTTATCTGCTTGTACTTTTGTCCTCTCAGTGTTGACTGTTTGCTCTGGTGGATGATTGACTCACACGAAATTCACAGAGGGCAGATTTAAGATATTTTTTTCACTTCAAAGTACCATCGTAATAATCCTGTAAAAACAGCAACAACTAACAACAGGAAATTTGTTTTGTTTTTTTTTCTCCCATGTTTCAAACTGGTGTGTTCTTACTTGGACCTAGCTGACTGATTCGCTGCACTGCACAGTGCATTCCTAAGCCTCTCCCCCGCCTTGCACCCTCGCCTGCTCTAGTAGTCTCTCCTGTGTAGTTTCATCATGTCACTTTATAATCACATGACTGCTCATGGACAAAATCCATGAGAACATTAACAGACGTGCAGGAAATCTGCCACCTTAAAACCATCTTAAACTCTCAGTATCCAACAGATGAGACCAAAGCCCACAGTTATAATACCCACAGTTGGACTTAGAGCTGGTGTAGGCCTCGGCAGTAGGGTGTGTAAGGCTTTTTTAGGGCGGTGATCATTGGGCTGTGAATCATTAGTGCAGAGTGACAGCCTTTGTCTGTGTTTGTTCTGGGTGATTCTGAAATTATAATAATACTTTTTGGACAAACGATGCATTTGTAAAATAAATGATTAGCCCACGTCACTGACTATACGTTACAGTTTCAAGTTTCTTAAGGTGTACCAACTCTTTTTTTTTTTTTTTGCTTTTGAACTTCTTCAGATTATGCAGTGTTGTGTTTACAGTACAGATTTTGATCTGGTGGTACAGACACTCGCTCCAGAGGAGGAGGAGCAGGGTTGAGGACATGAGCAGAATGACGTATACAAATACATTTCTAGTTTGTGTTGCAAAATGAATGGACCGATTATAGATATGTTTTCAAAATAGTGGTTTATGGTGGATGTTTTCAGCTCCAGGGTAGAACTGGGCTGTACTGTGGGAGCCTACAAGAAGATTTAAAATATTTAGTATATAATAGTCTCTGAAGCTACACTTATCACCTGTTTTTGTAGAAAATGTCTGACCAACCAAAAATACCAGATATTATACAACCCTATTGTACCAGTGCTATAACCCATGGATCAAGGATTTGCAGTTCCATTAATAGCACCTCCTGCAGTGGAGGTGGGGATTACTGTTTGTTAACAGAATACAACAGTCAGAGTACACAGACCTTCAGAACTAATAAGAACTAAAAGCAGAACTAAAAGATTAATTTACGAACCGGAGTGTCTCAGCATGTAGATTATTCAACCAATGAAAAAGCCTAAAATGAAATCCATCAAAAAGGTTTTAAAGGAACACTAAACATTCACAACAACAAACATTTTAGACGTAACAGTAGAATCAAAGTTTTGTAGTTCAGTGGCTGTTTGCTGACATTATAGTTATTTACATGATACGATGGTTTTAAAATAATTTAATCACCACAGGTGTTTCTGCTCTTTTCTACAGGGAATTCAACCATCACACCATACAACCATACAGACTCTACAGCCCCTACAGAACCTACAGTGAGTGACAAACCTTTGTTATGCTCAACCAATAACTCGAGAAGTATCTCCAGACTGAACCCTCTTTTGTTTTCTTTTGTAAGGGACTCAACATCGCAGCCATTGTGGCCCCCACGGTCACGGTGGGTGTCTTAGTCATAATCCTGGCTGTTCTGGGCTGGCTCTTCTGTGTGGTGAGAAAGAAGAGGCAGACTGAGGGGACGTACATGCCCAGTGCTGAGGAACAGTCTGGGACACGCAGTGTGGCGGCACTAGATGCACTAAAACTACCCAAGGAGGAGAGACTCATCTGAAAGCGGATGCCAAGCGATCAAAGACAATCCTACAGAGATACAAGCTGAACACATGATGACAATAGGTGCAAAACAGTCGCTTCCTTGAGCTGATCAATGAAAGAGAAACCTCTAGTATTTAGGAGAAGACAACGTGCCAAGTGTGAGGCGCTTGACATGATAAATATATATGAAAATACATTCAGCCACATTTCTGCCTATAGTACCAGGAACTTTAAGCATCATAAAAATGATGCTTTAAATGGTTTTAAATCAGTGTGTCTGCCTGTACATCCACAGCCTTGAAAGTCCTGGAAAGCTCCAAGCTCCCTGTACCGACTCCCTGGTGCCTGTCATTAGGCTTCATCATATATTGCTGCCAAAAATAAAAGTGCCTGGAATTGGTCCTTTCTAAGTAAAGTCACCTTTTTACAGAGAACAAAATGTGACGTTCTCCAACCGATCAGAAACGTTTGACTGCTGGCTCTGCTCTGTTAGTCCTACCTTAAAGAAAGGGACTGTTTATTTAAAAAAACAGATAAAATTGAAGACTGTATTTTATCTGTCTTTTTGTTTTAGGACCCGCTGTAGAAACATACAAAATCCCTGGTACTGCTCACATCACTGGTACCCATTCCCTCTTTGCCCATGTTGCTTCATCAAAAGTTTTATTTTTGTCAAACATTTCAATCTGGTTTTGGATATGTGTTTTTTTCTTTCTTTGCACAAGTAAAACAGAAGCATCAGTATTTATCACCAATGATTTCAGATTTCACATGTTTAACTTTGCCTCAGTGATGATGCTTTGATTCATCCACACTGACTCTTTACTCCACATCATTTCCTCTGTTTACTACAATCAGCACTAAGAGCGTCAAATACATTTGGAACGAACATTTGTTGTAGGAGTGAGTACGGTTTAAATCATACAAATGTAAAGGATCACTATTTAAAGAAAATCATTCCATGGTATCAACCTTGTCTATATTTGATATTTATTATTGCATCTGTGTGTTCTGTCGAATATCGTGTTAGTGCGTCTGTCGAATAAACAACAATGCCTTTGTTTTATTGTGTTTCATTGTTTCAATATGTAATGTGTAATCTTACATTTAATACCATTTGTCTACAGATGGTGAAAAAAGCACCTGTTATGAGAATTATTAAGACCCCGTGACTGCTGTTGGTGAGAAACTCTGACATGTTTAGGTCACTTCCTGGTTAATAGAGAGGCCTGAGATCCAGAATGTGTTCTCGTCACATGATGTTTTTTATGACATTTTATTATAAAAGGCTACATATAAAAATTAGATCAATATCCAGAGTTTATGCAGGGAATGTTTAACCACGATAAGGATAATCTCTGAGAGCAAAAGGTTGAGCCCCAAACAGCACCTGACTGAGTGACTCGAACAAAGACACCATTGTCCAAGCACAGGGAAAAATGTCATGGAAATTGTAGTCCCTCTGATTTTGAAACCAAGATGAAAAGCCATGTAATGTTACGCCGACAAAAGTCATGCACAAAAACATAAGTTCTCTGCTCTCTGTTACACTCATCTCCTGTGTGACCAGACATGGTTTACCATTGATGTTAAAAGAACAAATTATCCACTTGTGTTAATTTACACCAAGTCTTTCTTTGACTGTATCAAACCAGGCAGTTCAGAGAAAGATGGTTTCCCCGAAGCAGGAAAGAAGATCAAGGTGTGTTTCTGTCTATCACGACCTTATCTCTGTGTTCAGCAGAAACAAGTGCAGTGGGACTTATTACTAATAACAGACGTTAATCTTCTATTTGGCACCTGATTAGGAGGAGAGAACTGATTGGCTTTGTGTAAACAGTGATGAAAAGAGGAGTTATTTCACAGGCTGCTTCTATAACAGCAGCTATAAATAACTTCCTGTGGGAACTGAATGGTACAGCATGTTGTTCATCATGACAACAGGTTCCCTTCTTTAAACTTCCTAATATGTAAATGGAAATATAAGCTGTTGAGTAGGTGAGTCTGAAAACCAAAGACCAAGACCATAATGATTACTGGTGTTGCTACTTCAGCTGCAGGCTGTGGTTGCTAAGAGAGGCTTTGGCAGTAAATGGTTGGTTGGTTGGTTAGGAGTGATTGACAGGATGGTCTACTAGTCCCATGGCAACGCTAAACATCACAGAAATCAAGTTGTCAGTGATGCTATGACGTTAGCAAATCATTTGGTTGAGTTTCTATTGGAGGAACTGTATGTCCATTGCAGTGACCCTTGTGATCTTTGTACTTTCTTCTTTTAGTATTTTAGACATCATGGGATCTTTTTGGGGAAAAAAAAATATGTTAATAAAAACTCAGAGTCAGTTTATTTGGCCTTCAGTTAAATTTTTTAATCATAACTCAATTTCAAGGCTTCACAGTTACATTTGCTTTTCAGACTGGCAAGGCAATGGCAGAGTAGATGTAAGCATGTAAAAGATTCAGTGCAGTTACAACACAGAAAACTGTTTAACCAAGAACTTAACTAGCATCAGTTACCACACTGTCTAACACTAGAGCATCAGCAAACTATATGGCGACAGGTTTTTACTGTGGGTGGAAATGAAAAGGGCGGAGGGCAGGGAGTGTCTTGTGAGGATGGGGTGAAATGATGTTTGGCAGAACAGCTGGCAGAGGATTTAGGCGACCTCCTCTTCTCCCTCTTCTTCGAACTCGCCCTCCTCAGCGGTGGCATCCTGGTACTGCTGGTACTCGGACACCAGGTCGTTCATGTTACTCTCAGCCTCTGTGAACTCCATCTCATCCATGCCCTCACCGGTGTACCAGTGAAGGAAAGCCTTACGACGGAACATGGCAGTGAACTGCTCGGAGATACGCTTAAACAGCTCCTGGATAGCAGTGCTGTTACCAATGAATGTCGCGGCCATTTTGAGGCCACGGGGTGGAATGTCACAGACAGCTGTCTTCACATTGTTGGGGATCCATTCAACAAAGTAGCTGCTGTTCTTGTTCTGCACGTTCAGCATCTGCTCATCCACCTCCTTCATGGACATGCGGCCTCTGAACACGGCAGCCACGGTGAGGTAGCGGCCATGACGTGGGTCGCAGGCAGCCATCATGTTCTTGGCGTCGAACATCTGCTGTGTGAGCTCGGGCACGGACAGGGAGCGATACTGCTGGCTGCCCCTGCTGGTCAAGGGTGCAAAGCCAGGCATGAAGAAGTGGAGACGGGGGAAGGGCACCATGTTGACGGCTAATTTACGAAGATCAGCGTTGAGCTGCCCAGGAAAACGCAGGCAGGTGGTCACACCACTCATGGTGGCAGACACCAAGTGGTTGAGGTCTCCGTAGGTGGGTGTGGTGAGTTTTAGTGTACGGAAGCAGATATCATAGAGGGCTTCATTGTCAATGCAGTAGGTTTCATCTGTGTTCTCTACCAGCTGGTGGACAGAGAGTGTGGCATTATAGGGTTCCACCACAGTGTCAGACACTTTAGGAGATGGAACCACACTGAAGGTGTTCATGATACGGTCAGGGTATTCTTCGCGGATTTTGCTGATGAGCAGGGTGCCCATGCCAGAGCCGGTGCCACCGCCCAGAGAGTGAGTAAGCTGGAAACCCTGAAGGCAATCACAGCTCTCAGCCTCTTTCCTCACTACATCCAGGACAGAATCCACCAGCTCAGCTCCTTCTGTATAGTGTCCTTTAGCCCAGTTGTTACCAGCTCCGCTCTGGCCTGGGAATGAGAAAAATTACAATTTACAGCCTGATGTAAGGCACACAAAAATCTGCCATATCCTAGTGGGATCGTGAGAATTTTTTATTTATATAACCATATATTTTACCAAAGACAAAGTTGTCAGGCCTGAAAATCTGTCCAAAAGGGCCGGACCTGACGGAATCCATCGTACCAGGCTCCAGATCAACCAGAATGGCTCGGGGCACATATTTCCCACCTAACATTAAAGCCACAGTTTATTCACAGTTCAAATGATTCATAATAATATTATGCCAACATGAAAAAACTGGGTCAAAAAGAACATGAGTGAAGACTGATCAGCAGAAAATAATTTTCAGGTAAATTTCATGTCAATTTCAGACTTCTTAAGATGTTTTTTTCTCTCCATTATTTTAAAATCATACCTGTGGCCTCATTGTAGTAGACACTGATCCTGTCTAGCTGCAGATCACTGTCTCCGTGGTAAGTACCAGTGGGATCGATGCCGTGCTCATCGCTGATCACCTCCCAGAACTGAAAAACAACAGGCGTGGCAGGATATGCAAGCGCTTCATCAGTCAAAAATAATAACATAAACACTAATGAATGACAATGACAATTATGATAACTCAATAACCTGAACATTAGCAGATGTACAACATGCACAAAGCCTACTGAAATCGTGGCATCTGGTGATTGGTGACTGGTGATTTTGAAATTGGTTATGCAACAAAACTATTGGCTAAATTCCAGTAACGATAATGACTATTATTAGCAAATGTAAAATGTTTATGAAATAATCAAGCAATCTGCAATTAATCATACAGTCGTTGACTTAATGTTATTAGAAGAAAATAAATACAATAAAATAATTATCTTGGAGACCTTGTAACACGAATATTTCGGTTATTTATAAAGAAAAATAGCTAATAGTAATTTTATAATGTTGAAAAATATTAAGATTTTTCGGCGGATATTGGTTTGAAAAGGAATCTGTTAAAAATAGGTCATGTAGAGGAGGGGGAAGGGAAGATACTGCTGCTGCTCTAGTGACAGCTCGGCTTCATCAGTACAGTAGTCAATGTTATATAATTTACTACAGTATTTGACAAAAAGTGTCATCGTAATGAGGAATTTTGCATTATCATTACACAAAATGCCATTTTATGCGTCATTGATGGGCACGTAACACTCTGCATAAATATACTGGAAAAATACGAATTATATTTGAATTATGATTATGGCCGACCTGTAAAATAATGTTAATATATCTAATATATATATCTTCAATTATAAACGTGTCTTTGAAGGAGTAAAAAGCGCCACGTTGGAATCCTTCTAGAGAATTCTGGGAGGATGGATTAGCGGTCTGCCCTCAGCCTCCATGAACACGCAAGTCTAATTAAAACTAAGAGAGAAATAAAGAGGACAGGCAGGGCAGAGAATCGTAAAAATACCTTGGCTCCGATCTGGTTTCCGCACTGACCGGCCTGCAAATGCACAATTTCGCGCATCTTGGACAGAACGACCCGAGGACAGCGGCGAGAGGGAGAAAGAGCGTCAGCAGCACTGAAGGACGGGATGATGGCTCCCTTCCTGCAGTCTATACTCCGGCCTTTTAGGCACCGCCCCCTTAATCGTCTACGGGTTTTTTCATTCTCTGCAAACGACTACTGGGCTGAGGCGGTGGTAGAACCTGACGTCAACGCTATGGACCCATAGACCCATAGACCCAAGGAGGAGGAACAGGAGGAGGACCAGGATGCGTGTTAATGGCGGATAGGATGAGAGGAGTAACATCCATTATACATTAAATGGTGGATAGACTCACAGCCATTGGCTCCTACAACAACCCTACCTGAAGATATAAACACTATGAACACTGTTTACATTGTACAATATTATACACAAATGTTGTGTAACCTTTGGTGAGTCCATACATTCAATTACATTAAATTACATTTTCCCATTGAAAACAGAAATTGCAGGTGCCGCAGCGGCGAGCTGTGCCTCACATCTGACCGCGAGATCCAATCAAACTGGGTCACATGACGCTTGCCAGTTTATGTTTCTCATCCAATAAAGTGCAGAGAAAAGTCAGCAGGGAGGCAAACAGTACTCTGCCTCACCTCACCTCACCTTGTTAACTGGCGTTAACAAGTAATTAAAAGTCCGCGCCAAGCTAAACAGTAGGTCATGAACAGCGTTTTCTATGCTCTGCCTGATCCGACTCACTATTGATTGTTTTTCAAGACGGAAAAAATTTCAAAACTGGACCTCCGGTCCAAACAGAAGGTGATAAGTGATGGAACACCAACGCCGGAGCTAAAAGGTTTGCTTCAAACTACGGGACAGAAGAGTATTTTTTTTAATGTAGTGGTACAAACGAAAGGACTGGCTGTGTGGCTGTCCTGTAAGAAACCGCCATTATTGCATTTCTTGCTTTTTATTCTCATCGTGTGATAACGTCTAGACGAACTCGGGATACTGTGAACGGAAATTCAAGGATCGAGTTGGCATTGGTTGAGCAATGGAGACTAAACATTAGCGTCCACAATGCTAAGGTGAGGGAAAACCCTGGACTTCATCTATAAGTAAAGGTAAGGTTAACGTTTTTGTTTTTAATTAATTTTAATTTTCTTTTCTTATCAAATTGATAGACAACCTTTGATTAAAGCACCAGAATTTGACGTTTGTTTTTTTTTACTGAAGTTCAAAATTAAATATGTACTGCATTCATCTCTATACTTTAATTTGTTTACAGTAAATATGAATTGCTTAGACACAAGAAGGGGGCTCTGTCCATTTCTATAAAAAAAGAAACGTTCTTTGCAGGTCAAAAGTTCCTTTGTATATGTTTGTGTTGGTGTAAGTGTCATTGAAAGAGAAATGCTGATGGATATGAAGCATTACCAGGTGCATGCTGTTGGATGAATAGTGAAATAATATGCTTTTTTTCTGTTCTTACAATTGTAAATCTGACTCCAGAGAAATCGGTGTCTTACCAGCCATGAACCTCGTCACTGAAAAAGAATGCCATTTATTTGGTGTTTTGATACAGTTAAAACGGCTTCAACTAAATCTTAAATAAAAAACAAATTAAAAACATCAATAATTCATTTTTGACTTGGCAACAATAATTATATGCTGCTCAAATCTAGTTCTTCTACCAAAATACATCAGAACAGCAAGTGGACGAACAGACTGTACAATGGGTGGAAATAGCAGTGTTTGCACAGACATGTTTACTTTTTGATTAAACAGGAACAATGTAGTGAATTGATAGATAAGAGAAGTTAAACTAGAAGTATCAGTAACCTGATATTTAAATCCATCTCATATCAAATACATATGGTGCTAGCCTGTTTAGCTTATCTATCAGGCAACGAGTTGGACTGAACCACATTGAATCCATCAGAAAAGCAAAGACAGAAATAGAAAGCACAGTTGTCCTGACAGAAAAGGAAATAAAGAGTTCAGGTAGAATCTAAAATGGGAACTAAGAACATGTCACCTGCATTGCTTTTATGCCTCTTTAAGCTTTTGTTTTTTTGTTTGTTCTTTAATCTATTTTTAGGGCCTGCTCATTGACAACAGCAACGCCATCCACAATTACTTTGTAACTGTTTCTTTACCTATTGGTGTGGAATAGGCCCAATAGCGACCCCTACAGGAACAGTATACTGTATGATTGTTCAGAGCTATCAAACCTCACCTGCAGAAACAGCAGAAATCCACTCCACAGTATCGAGGCAGCACTCTCTCAGTATTTTTTTTGTTTTATTTGTATTTCAGTTGCTTAACTCCTGCCACCTTTTCACTCTGACAAATAATAAATAGCTTGAAAGAATTGTTTTGTTGCGTCCTCAGGCTGGTGATAATGTCAACAACTTTTACATTCAAATCCTGTGTAGTTGCATTTTCAGAACACACAACACATTACAAACCTGTTTCAAACCCTCTCTCTCAAGACTTGGCCAATTGGGATTTATTTCCTGTTTCCTGGCTCCTTTTTTTACAGAGCCACATGATTTAAGTTACTCCCACAGGAAGACCTAGGGCATTTGCTACTTCATGTCAGTAACAACAAGCTTGGTTATGTTCTTTTACAGAGGAGTCAGACAGAGGAGTCAGACAGAAGAATTGTTAAGAACGTCTGCTGTTATCGACAATGGATTATGTGTGAAAAGGCAATGATCATGTCACTGCCAGAGGAAGATCTTACATGCCCTGTGTGCTGTGACATCTTCACAGACCCTGTCTTGCTGTCATGCAGTCACAGCTTCTGCAGGACCTGCTTGAAGCGCTGCTGGGAAACTGGTCTACGGGAATGTCCAGTGTGCAGGAGGAGAGCCCAGAAGTCCAGTCCTCTGTCCAATCTGGCCCTGAAGAACATCTGTGAGGCTCTTCTGCAGGTCAGGAATCAGAGTGCAGAGGCTGTGAAGGACAAGATGAGCTGTAGCCTGCATGGAGAGAGACTAAAACTCTTCTGTCTGGTGGACAAAGAGCCAATCTGTGTGGTGTGTCAGTTCTCCAAGCTTCACACAGACCACAGCTGCTCGCCCTTAGAGGAGGCAGTCCTGGACTGCAAGGTAACAAAACAGAGTTTCATGTTCATGTTTTATCTGTATGTATTGTAATGTATTTGTATTAGTCTTCTTATATATTTTTTGGTGATACATACCATTTTTATAACATTTCTATTGTAACAAAGACAAACGGGAAACAAAACCCTGACCTGTTAGAACATGAACTCATTTCTGAAGACCTGGTTATGGTTAAATTAAAAGAAGTGACTTTCTATTGGGCATTAATACGATATGTTATCATTACAGTAGGGTTCTGGGGGACAAATAGTTATGTATTTTTATTGAAGGATTTCTAACAGTGATGTTTTTAGAGGAATTCTGTTGTATTATGTAAATACACATTGATGTTGAACTAAAACACTAGTAGACATGTGGAAACATTGATGGGTAGTGATGATAAACAGCACCTGAATGAAAACATATCCGGTACATAGAGTTGAATCAGGTTTTGGTGCCGTTTTTATTACTAACCTTAGTGGTTTAAAACATTTCTGCATTAATGCTACTTTTTACACTATTAAAAAAAAAAAAGAATTCTGTCACCATCTGTTTCCTGTTCACCACAGTTTTGCTAAACAGACTCTTATTTATGTTAAACATGAGGTCTTACAGCACCACCTCAGGTCAGAATGTTGTTCTGCAGGTCTGTCTTGATGATCCTGATAATCCATGCAATGTTGACAGCACTTGACAATCAATGAAGCCCTAAAGAAGACACTGTCAAACTCTGGCCCGGGGACTAAAATATGGGCATAAAAAGATTTATGTGGACCAAACCTTTAAACAAAAAATGGATTATGTTAATTACCTGTGGTCAGTATTACAGATATGCACAGGGTTTGTGGGTCATTAAAGAGCAATGTCAGGCTAACATTAATGTCAGGTAAACATTACCAGCTAGGTAAACAAACTAGCACTCTGCTAACTGTTGACTATCTTTTTAAATAATTTTGGGGTATGTTGTGCCTCTTTTAGCTAATGGTTATCCTTTTCTAAATGAGCTTTTCTCATTCTTTTCACTTTTGTAACTTAACTTGTATTGTTATTTTAATAATTTAGGTTCATTTTTGGAGTGTAATAAAACCTTTTTGTTTGGCAAACCTAGTGTTTGTAATGCTGGGCGTAGCTTTTTAAAACATATTTTGACTGATATATCTTTTCCCAAATTGCCTATACTTTATCTATGTTTCTCTAACCCCTTTTCAGCGTCAATATGCCTGTGGCAGATGACTCAGTTACTAAAGCATATGTACTATAAAGTAGTGTCTTCTCTACTAAATTAAGCCTGTTTCATTTCAGGATGAACTTGCCTTATCACTCAAAGTGTTGAAAGACAAACTGGATAGTCTCAAAAGAATCCAGCAGACTTCTGCAGATATGGCCAAGTACATCAAGGTATCCTGTGATGATTGTACGATGAGTCTCACATGTGCCTCTCAAATGAAAACAGAAGTAGTAATGTGTAACTTTTGACAGAGTCAGGCTGCGGACACTCAGAAACTGATCAGGAGCCAGTTTGAGCAGCTCCATCAGATGCTGTGCCAAGAAGAGTCTGACATATTAGCAGCAGTGAAACAAGAGGAAGAAGAAAAGATCACAGGAATGAAGGATAGGATGAAAGAGCTCTCTGCTGAGGTGCTGGCCCTGGCGGAGATGGTCTCTGACATCCAGGAACACCTTAAGGAAGAAGATATGGAATTACTGATGGTAGTTTTAATTGTTTATACTCTTTTGCCACTCTTTTCAGGAATTCCCACTCTGATATTTTGTTTTGTCTTTCCAGAATTTTAAAGCCATTGATGAAAGGTGTGTTTGCAAATGATTTATTCATTCATTTTTACTCATTCAGTGTATTTTATTTGCTAGCTGTGAGCCTGTGTGTGTGTATGTGTTTATTTTCTATACAAATTTGCTTGTGTTGATAGGAGCAAAAGTGTTGCAGTAGGCTCAGACAACATGTCTGGATTACTGATTGACATGACTAAGCATCTGTGTAACCTCAAGTACAGAGTCTGGGAGAAAATGCTGGACCACATCGACTACAGTGAGTTTTTGTTTTTATTTGAACACTTCAAATCCTAACAAGATAAAATATGCAACAACTTTGGGTTAGTGCTTGTAAACATAGCACGGAGAAGGTAGCGCTCCTTCCTTCCCTGCAGAGGGAGCTGAAAACTCACCCACCCCTTGGTTGTTCTTCTGCAGATTTGAGTCCAGCTGACAATCTTTGATTTGGATTGCTGCCACCTACTGGCATTTTTCAAATGTGTAAATAGTTTTCATCAAGTTGCTTTTTTTAAAATAAATGTAAAAGAACAAAACACAGACAGAGGGCAGTATTGTTGTGGGTGAACATAACATTAACACTAATTTAAAATTACTGAGTGGATTGCTTTTGTATATATTTATGATAGGAAATTTGTACATACTACTTTTTTCTAAATGTGTTCACTGGGTATAACTGGGATTTCCCTCTTTGACGTAAAATTATTTTTAAACACTCCCTTCTCTTAGCTCCGGTCACTTTGGACCCAAACACTGCCCACCCCTGTCTCATCCTGTCTGACAATCTAACCTCCCTGCACTACTCAAGGCAGCCCAGCTGCTGCCCCGACAACCCAGAGCGCTTCCACATGAGTGCCGAAGTGGTGGCCATGTCTCCCCTCGGTTCAGGAAGTCACCATTGGGTCGTGGAAACAGGAAGTAATCAGGACTGGCTCCTGGGTGTGGCCTCTTCGTCTGTGCCAAGGGATGTTGAAGTCTCCGCTCGGCCCGAAAACGGCTTCTGGACTTTGTGCTTTAGAGACGGAGAGTTCAGGGCCATGACCTCTCCACCCACACCGCTGACACTGACACAGACGGGGACACCAAAACAAATCAAAGTCCAGCTGGACTACAACAGAGGGACAGTGTCGTTTTCTGACCATGCCGATGATTCGGAGATATTTACCTTCTCACACACATTCACAGAAACACTGCTGCCATATTTTTATACACAGAGTAGTGAGCCACTGAGAATCTTGCCAGAGAAGGTTCTGGTCACAATGCTGCGTCAGTGACTGGGTAGAACAATGATCATGTCAAACCCCGAGGAGCTGCAGGCAGCACTGACACATCAACGATTCTGTCAAAACAAACTAAATGAATACAATTTGCACACCATCAGCTAAGCCAAGAACAATCGTTTCCTTTGTCCACTGGGCGGTGCTAAGGTATTAGAATTATTTTACTACTCTGCTGCAGAAAATTATGCCACGCATTCTGCAAACCGGTCAAATAATTTGACTTGCTTTTGGGTGGAATTCTCATATGAAGCCTTAATCATCTTATGTACAAATGTGTCTGAGTCTCAACACTGACCAAATCTGAAGTAATTTAAAAAAAAATCTCATGGATTCAAAAGTAAAGAACAGGGCAAGAACCATTACTAAATTAATGGTTTTCAAAGGTCAAAGGTTCATGTTTTGGTGACGATTCAAACCCCAAAATGTAGTTATTGTGTAAAAAAATAAAAAATTGCAGACTGGATGAGACGAATAGGAGCCGTGCACCGACATGTTGATGTGACGTCATCGGTAAACTGGTATAACAACTCAGACAGACAGACGGACACAAAGTAAATGACAAATAATTAATGTACGCTCATGCAGTAGACATTAGTTATATTTAGAAGTAAATTATCATTAAATTATCATTTAAAATATATATTTTTCATTTGATTAAACCACCGGTTATGGAGTAGATTTTTCTATTAACGTACAAGCTTAATGTAAGTTAACACAAGTCGTTATGTTTACAACGTGTGGCAGGGTAACGTTTTTTCTTTTTACATTCAGGAAACGTCGTGAGGGTGCATAGAATTATTTAGTGAGTTACTTCTATGAAATGTTGTAACTATTGTATCTCTGTCCTATATCCTGGCTAACATTTAGCCTTTAATTTGACTTCCACTACTTTTCTCGAAGATGTTGGATATTTTTGACCTTTTGTCAAGATTTTTTTGTTTTGTTTTGTTTTTATAATCGTTCATCGGGCACAATAAAAACGAACTATTGAAGTCCTGACTGGTACCTCTTACTCTTGACCACACGATGCCGCCAAAGCCAAGCAAATATTTTTGATTACCCAACAACGCAGATATGAGCATGTTATTAAAAACATGCGCTTATTTCAATGTTAGTTCAGTGCTAATTCCTGGGCTTATAATAATCTAACATTTTGCATTTTATAAGCAAGTTTTGAATAAAATAAAAATATTTTTTGTAAACTTTACAGACAGGTAGTAATATTGTTTGTTGCATAAACAACGATCAAATGTTTTTTAAACAAACACATAGAAAAGGTTGGTTTATTTTGGTCTTTATTATTGGGTATTTTAATTAAGTCTGACCATCTATGGAAAAAAAAACTTCTGGAGACAGCGACTCTAAGTACATTGCTCTTGTGTTCCTATTACCTACTAGCCACTGTTAAAATAAATTCAAAATTAAATTTGTGCTGAACTCATTGCTGTACTTTAATTTGTTTACAGTAAATTTGAATTGCTTAGACACAAGAAGGGTGCTCTGTCCATTTCTATAAAATAAATGTTCTTTGTAGGACAAATATGTTTGTATTGGTGGAACTGAAAGAGGAAAGCTGATGGACCTCAGTGGTAACTTGGCAGCTGGTCCACTGGTGGCTTAACCGCTAAGCCACCAGCGGTTCTTACAATTGTAAATCTGAATCCAGAGAAGTCAGTGCCTCACCAGCCATGAACCTTGTCACTGGTTTGAGCTTCAGAGCAGGACCTGTTCTTCTTGCAATAACTGTTATCTGTGTTTATCTGATCCTCACACAATAAGTTTCTATTGACCCTTTCAAGCACTCAAGTTGCATGTGAGCGGAGCTTCTCTGCATTAAAATGTGTGAAAAATAGGCTACAAAGCTCACTGTCTCAGGAACTCTTGGAGGCCTTGATGTTAATGTACACAGAGAAGGAAATTCTCATGTCCATAGACAATGACATTGTCATTAATTAACTTGCAGAAATCAGTGCTTTGCTTAGGAGGATTTTGATGCTGAAAGTAGCCTACTAAATATGCGTGTAGCTATTTAAGTCTTTAGTGTAAACCTAACAATAGAACACCTTTCTGTTGGGAAGGCAAATTGAATTTTAATTTCAAATGACTGCTCCTGTACAAAGATAAATACATTTTATTCTTTATCAGATTTTTTTTTTACATTTAAAATATTTATCTGATTTTAATTTAAAATTAATCATTGTGAAAGTGAAATGTTTTTTGATAATGGAACGGTTGATATTGGAACGTTTGTATTACGGAAATAGGAATACGTTGTACGGTCCTTATTTCCGGTTGCGGATCCGGCGCATGAGACACGAGTGTTTGCCATTTGGGCTTCCAGTGGGCGTTGAAGTAAAAGAAACTGGGCACGGTGGCTACATGTGATTGATTGAAACGGTGGGTTTTTGAAAACGATTGTCGGTTGTATTTTGTTTGAAATGGTAGTAGTTCGATCGAGACCGTTAGTGCAATTTACGAAGGTTTGCTCTTAACAAGTGCCACCAATGACTATAGGATAGTAATTAGTTTGACCTCCATTTGAGCAACAAATATAACCTATCATCATGATTCACTGTGGTGATGCTGTCGTTTTCCTGAAGAGATTTGTGTGATTTTTTTAAAAAAAAAATCTTTTTAAAACAATGAATAATCATTGCAATTTCAAATACAATTATATTTCTTTTATGAATGATAGTGACAAGTGGAGTGAATAAGACGCCTCCTTTAACAGTTGCTCTGTGAGGGTAGATAAGCTGGGGTGCGCTGAGACTTCTCTTTTTTCACACTCATGATAATTGTGTTTGAGTTTCCGCTCGGTCTGACCTGGATGCTCAGTTCCCATCTGACCACGAAGACAAAACGCTCATTGATTCTTTGTCTTCTTGATGTGTAAATCACCACAGTGACAGGCGCACCGGGCCCACAGGATGCTCTGCCCCTGTATAGCGTGTGTGTGTGTGTTCTATGTGTATCTTTACTTTTACCCACTTCTAATGTGTGTTAAAGGATATCTGTTAACATTTCTTGATTGCGTTAGCATATGGGGCTGATTTTTACTTGTGTTTTGCCTCTCATCAGTGATAGTGGGCAAACTAAACTGAAAAAATAAAATAAAATAATAAAATTGTGTCCTTGGATGACACCCACCAACATCAAACCAGAGAGGAAACACAAAGGAACACAGATCACACTCTACGCTGCAGCAGTGAGTCATGTCTTATATAAACACATTGTAAAATCATGCTGTTTTATCATGCTGAAAATCCACTCTATTTTTGTAATTCTTACCAAAATATTTGAAAGACACAAAGTGTGTTTGTGTGTGTGTGTGGTATCAGCATGGACTGGACTTATGTTGAAGGATGAGATGTTTAAAAATACATAGTTGGGTTAGAGGAAGAAATCACATAAAAATAATTTTTAGAAACCAAACTATGGATATGGGATATGGATTTGTATAAAGTGGATGTGTTGTCAGTTGGATCCACAACAACATTTTAAGGATTTCTTTGTGCCCAGAATGAAATCTGCGTCAAATAGAAAACAAATTGCGTCAACAGACTTTTGTCGCCACAAGTCACATAGGCGCAGGGGAGAGAAACCATGTGATTCTACTCTCTGTTTTCAGTCCAAAGGTAGTTTGAAAATTAATGATGAAGTGACTGTATGATGTCTGCTGTGTGTTGTCTAATCTTAACTCACATCACATGTAGACGAGTGTGAATGAATCCTTCCATTCCGTCCTGTCAGGCGGGTGCGATGTGTCGTTCAGAATACCCATGTTTTTCTGGGTCTTTTTTTCTGCAATTTTCTGTAATCGTCTGAGATGAAATTGGCTGCAATAGAAATGTACATGCGTCACTGGAGTCAGGAGTAGGAGGAGAACTGGAACCAGCAGCAGAACCCAAAGTTTACTGTGGAAGAACATACCCGCAGAAGTCGTCATCGCTCAAACATGCCTTTCAAAGAGTGAGAGAAAGACGAGAACCGAAGAGAAAAAAGAACAGTTATCTGACTAGGTAAATGAAATCAGTCATAACGAGTCAAAACGATCAAAACGACTATAGCCTGAAGAGTGATGTCACATGTCACCTGACTTTTCTGAAGTAAAACAGATGTTGAAATTCTGTGCCGGAACTAGAGGAATACGGAAAAAAAAAAAACAAACTTGACAAGACACCATTGAAGGAGACAGTCAGTGAAAGAACAAGGTTGTCAGAGTTCCACTCACTCTCTTGGTGTGAGGTGGCAACAGGAAGCTGGCAACACCAGGCTTTCAGCCTAGGAGGTAATTTCAAATAGATAAACACACACACACACACACAGTGTGTGAACAACCACAGAAAATCCTGCGTCTGGGTTAACGAAGCCTTCTTCTTCACTCCAAATCACAATCTAGACATTCAGAGGTCGATATTGGGAAATAACACACAGTTGTTTCAGTTGGTAAACTACTACCAATGTACACACAGTGTTTGTATTTTCTTTTATTGTGCATTGCATCGGTGTACTTCACTGAGGTTAAGGCATCTACATTGATATCAGTTCACTCTGAAGCAGTCTTTTGCCCCCTGGTTGTGCATGCACCTGGTATTGTTTGTACACAAGAAACCCGTCTGTACTGATATTATTACATACCAGCATTAACAAAGAGTTTTTGTTTGTACTGAGAACACGGGGTGATTCCCACGAAGGGAATTTGAAATAAATACAAATGTATACATTTGGAACACACTCATTGGCCTGTAGCCAGAAGGGGGAGAATGGACAGCCCACCATCTCGTCTCCCATTACTGTAATTATGTCACTAAACAGCCTGTAATCACCATAATTATGGCCCGTGGTGTGAAGGGTTGGCTAATGAACAAACAAACAACTCATCCTGCCATCCCTTCACAAGGGAGGTTATTAGAGGAAATTAAACAATGAGACTGGATGAAATGAGTTTCATTAGATTGCATTTAAGGGTAATGGGACAGAACATGTTGCAGTTTTATGATAAAAGACAGCAATTCAAACTAAAAAGCTGTGGTTCATGATGACACTTCAGCAGTGTAGTGGCACCCTCACGACCACAACATGGAAACAGATATCCTGCTCTGGTACGACTTAGCTTTACTTTGTGTTTAGACTGTTGAAATAAACAATGTATGGGAGAAACAAAACAAAGATCCAACAAAAGTTCCTGTACAATTCCATCTGTTTCGAGCCAAAAACACACAAACAATCCTGACCTTTACATGACACAGCAATCCCTCACATTACTCTGTTGGTTTCTGAAGTAACATATGGATGTTGGCCCTCCATTATAAGGCAGCTATCTCTTTGAACTCCACTGTCAGGACAACGGTCTGCTCTCCATCATCACCAACAGAACCAACTATTATGACATTAAATTAAGTGTGGCGCCCCCCCACCCTCTAAAACTCTCCACCCATGCAGCTGGAACACACAATGTCTCATCTCGAACATCACTAAATATACTCACACCTCTGACCAGGACATTACGTCAACTGTAGCAAACACTGCTGCTGTTACCTCCTCAGTTAAAGCATATTCTTACTTGGAACGTGTAGTTCTGTGTTTTCCTCGCTCAATATGAATCAACTACGGGCACTTGTTTGTCTTGTATTCACCGATAAAGGTACACTTTCTAATACCTGAGAAGTGACATTAACCGATCAGTGTCACTTTACAATAATTAACTAAAGCAGACCAGGGTTGAAAATACTGTATATTTATCCGATTTATAACATGGTTTTTATTTTTTAGAACATTTGTGGAATTTTCATGCATACAGTTGTCTTGTTTTTTACTAAATTAGTCTCTGTCTATGGAAACATGAGTCATGAAACATGACAAATGAGTCAATGCAATGCACCCCTGCTGGTTAGTACTGAATTAGTTAGTACACATTTGTCATCCATTTTAAACATAAACATTTATAAAAGAAGAGCTCAAATGATGACTGTATTAATTCTTACTCTTCAACAAAACCGAGAAAATGTTATTTAGATTACATGAATGTACAATATTAATTAATTGATTTCCCCAG